TTCTGCTGCTCTGTTTCTTTTTTTTTTTTTTTTTTTTTTAAGTTATCCAGCAAATTGGTTTGATTCCTTTAATTTTTTTGTTTGCTCATTGCTTTTTACCCTTTTTTATCATTTCATACATCTCCAGGCACAGAAGATGAAAGGGAACACGGTGTCTTTTAGTAAACTGAGCTTGTTTTTTCCCCAAGGACACGTATTCAAAAACTACAATATGAAATAAAGTCATTTTTATTCTATATGTGCCCAAGTCTTTAGCGTATTGGTTGTACCATATTTTTGCACGTGTATACATATGTGCTGTTCTAGAAAGAAAATGAGTGGTGTCGGTTGCCACATACAGTCATGTGAAAAGGTTCACCCCATGGAAATTGTTGACTTTTTTTAACAGATTTGAACAGGCCAACATTAGATCTTTATTCAAAGAGTGCTTCAGATAAAGGTGATCTACTAAAACTAACAGGACCGCACTATAAGAGGTGCCTTTGCGCGGCAGTGCGGCTTACACATCCTTTGCAGAAGACGTGTATCCAAACCTCTGTCATTGTCCTTAGTGGTGAGACAAGTTGTTTTACATGCTGGTTTGTGAGTGTGCCATGATGCCTTTCTACTGTACCACTGTTCAAAGCCCATTTCGTGTGCACCTTACTGTATAACTGGTAACAAATTGTTGAGTGCGTTTGTCGTTTGTTTTGCTCTACTAAAACTAACGTCACACAAAATGATTACCAAAATGGAAAAAGTAAGTACACCCCTATATTTACCACTGCTTCAAATCCATGAAACTGGAATTAGGTGTTGGGGCTAGTTCACACCACACCAGCTCACTTAGTTTTGGAGCGCTAGGGAGGGGGGGCATGGCAGTGAACTCAATGGCACTGCAGCCACACACTCCGGCCGCACGGGAACACGTGGCACATCAGTGCCTTTGTTCCGGTGCAGTCAGAAAAAAATAGCACTATTCTGACTGGAACGGAACGCAGGCACTGATGTGCCATGCGGTTCCTGTACAGCCGATCGCATTGCAGCCGGAGGGTGTGGCTGCAGTGCCATTGAGTTCAATGCACCGCTATGTCCCCTCCCGCTCCAAAACAAAGTGATCCAGTGTGTTCCAGCCAAAATCAAGCCGGACCGCACTGAGGCTGGTGTGAATGAGCCCTTACAGATTAGGTGCCAATGATTAAAACCTCCTTAGGAAGTATGCATGTGGAACTTGTCTAGTTTAACCCTTTCACTGCCAGGCGCTGCTTCCTAGTTTTCACCTCAGGTGACCAGACCATTTTGCTGTATTTGTCTTTTCCACATTTTTTCATTTACAGTCCGTAAAAAATAAAACCAAGATAATCTTTATCAAACCTATATTTTCAATAACAATACACAAACACAATAAATGTCAAATATTCTTAGAAATATAGAAGATAAAACTGTATTGAGTTAAGTGTAAATATCTGTAGTTTTGAAACTGAGCCTCTTTGCTAAACTGGTAAAATCTGCGAATGCAAAACTGCGATGCGTTGGCAGCCCATTCAAACTGGCTGGGATTCTCACATACATACACATACACACACACACATACACATACACACACACACACATACACATACACACACATACACATACACACACAATGTACAAGGATAAGTAATGGGTGTAGTGCTATAGTCCTCTGGGATCATTCACAGCAGGCCAGTTGGCTATCCTTGTCCAATGCAGACCCAACGTTAAAACAAGGCAAAAGGCCTTGCTTTTCATAGGGTCTGTTCAGACCAAAGAGCTGCATTGGTGTACATTGCAAAAAAATTATGCACGCATGAAATAAGTGCAAAAAAATACCTGCTGATCCTGCCAAAAATCCAGTGCACTGATAATTCCCTGTGCTCTCTGCCTCTCCTGCCTGATATCCATTAGAAATGTTCCCAGCTATTTCTATGGACTTGAGAACACCTCACCCTTATGTTATGGAGAAGAGGATGACAATGTTGCTCCTCCATAGATACCGTAGAGTGAGTGTAGTCACCCTATGACAGGAAGTGTGTCACTGGCATAATCATCAGCTGAAAATAAGGTCTCTATCTCACATGTATACATACAAGGGCCAATTTAGAGAGGAGCCAATTAACCTTCCAGCATGTCTTTGGAGTGTGGGAGGAAACCCACGCAAGCACAGGAAGAGCATGCAAACTCCTTGAAGATAATGTCCTGACTGGGATTTGAGCCAGGGACCCCAAGTGCTGCAAGCCAGAAGTGCCACTGTGCTGCCCATGGGTTTCAAAAATAAAATCTGCTCCCAAGCTACTTCACGTGGCCTAAAGCGTATGTAAAATACCACTTGGTCTCTAGCTTTAAGTAACACTGAGGGTTTCATGTAATTAGAGGCTACAGAGTGATATTTTAAAGGTCTGCCTTTATTTGGTCTCATTAAGAAAATATTAGCACTGGGCAAGCATGCATCAATAGGAAGTCAGACCGCCTTCTCTCTGTAATTGTTGGTGGTCAGTGACAGCACTGAGATGAAAACATCAGTATGGCAATCCAGCAACGAGCTATTTCAGAAGGAGAGGTAAGCAATGGACGTTACATATTCCTTTCAAGGGTTAAAAGATTTCAAAATAAAGTGTCCACCATCGGGTGGTCTGAGCAAAGCGTCCTGCAAGGGGATGGACTGGATGCACATTTGTCTTCTCACAGCAAGGAGATGTCTCATGAGACAATGGAACGCTTCCTCCCCTCCTACAATCTAGGAAGTCCCTAAGGATCTACAGTCATTACTCCGTAAGGAGAGATTGGATGCCGAACTCCAAAAGGATATTCGCACTGAGACCTTTTCGTCGCAGATGGCGATACTTTTTGATCAAATCCTTTTCCACCACAGATGTGGCTTCAGTTGTAAAAACGTTTCATTATACAGAATGGGTTCTGAAAAGGCAAGTTGTCGAATACCTTGGTGGTGCTAGAGGTGGATTAGCTCATTGGAACTCCTTTACTTACTATGCTTGACTGGCCTTAAGGCCTTGTTCCCACTAAGCGCGTTCCAGGAGCAGAGCAGTTACAGACCGGATCAAAACTGCGTCCAATGTATTCCAATGGTATTTTGGGCTCTAGTTCACACCGCAGAGTTCAGTTGCAGAGCATGTAAAAAAAACTGCAGCAAGACCTATTTTACCTGCTCTGGAACGCATGCAAATGCCCTGGAATGCACTGAAAGCCCATTCTAAACCAAAAACAGCCCGGAACGCATCAAAAGGAGGCAAAAAAAACGCGGTATAACACACTGCACTGCGTGTGCAAACCCTCATGCAGATCTGGTCTGCATTTGGTGTGAACAAGCCTGATTGATTTATGTCGATATATTATTGCTCATGGATGTCTCGTATAATGCCGTCACCCTTTGTATCTTACTTTTGGACTTGTATCTATTGGATGACAGAGATTTATCTTTTTGTTATTGTGGAAAACTTTAATAAACTTTGTTTTAAAGAAAAAAAAAAAAAGTAAAATAACAAAAACATCAAATAAAAAGGTTCTCCACCCCCACATTCACGTACATACGATTGCAAACATGCTTTGGATGCACCTATGTACAAAAACAACGGTTGCGCCATACATGTTGGGTATCGCCAGGCACACCAGAGTAAGAGCAATCATTCTAGATCGATTATTCATTGTTAAATCTGACTGATGACCTGGAATATCTTTTAAAGTGTCACCTATAGACAATTTTGTGTACTGTAGTTTTTTGTCATTCAAAGGTGCACACAATTGTGAAGCTTGACATGTTTGGGATCTCTTTATTCAGCGTGTTTAGGTACATAAAAAATGTTACTGAAACTGGGAATTCATAAACAGTGGCAATAATACCATGTGACATAAAAACAAATTGCAACTGCGACCATTTTATTCTACAGAGTCTCTAGTTTTAGAAAATATATCATTCTGCGAAGGGGATTATGTCATCTTCAGGCCTAAAATGTGCATTTTAACGTGTGCAAAAAATGCAAAAACTCGCCTCTGAAGTTAAAATGTTTAAATGTTCAGCCCCTGTCTGATAGACTTTGAGACTGTGAGATTACACCGTGTCACTATTTATTTTACAAACATACAGCCAAAATGGAGAAGCCATGTGTGAAAAACTAAGTCCCCCCTATGATTTAATACCTTGTAGAACCACCTATTGCAGCAAGAACTGGAAGTAATTGTTTTCTGTGTCAGTCTCTCACATCATTGTGGAGGAATTTTGTCCCACTTTTCTTTACAACATTGCTTTAGTTCACTTAAGTTTGCAGGCATTTGTTTATGCACAGCTCTCTTAAGGTCCTGCCACAGCATTTCAATTGGATTGGGGTCTGGACTTTGACTGGGCCATTGAAACACCTTGATTCTTTTCTTTTTCAGCCATTCTGTTGTAGATTTGCTGGGGTGCTTGCTAGTCCTAAAATAATTATATTTTATATTATATCTATATTTGTAGTGCAAAAATAACAGGCTTTGGAAAACCCACATCAGTATCATAGCAAAACAAGCTCCTATCCCTCCTATCCTATCATACACTCTTGCTTCTTCTGGCAGAGCAGCCTGACCCACACATAATAAAGTGTAACTGCCAAAAATCAAAGGTATCAGTTCCAAATGCCTACGAG